ATCTGGCTTAATAAGTGCACTTCAACTCAGGCATTTAAAGGAAATTGAATTCTGATAAGAGATAGCTATGACAAAAATGACCAGCACAACTGGAATCATGTGCACAGAACACATAGGACCAGTGGTCTAACTACTCCAGTAACCTGTCTGTGACAGTTGCCAGTACCAGATTCTTGTTGACAGCGTCCACAACAAGGCTAAGTATTTTCTGTGGAAACTGAGCTACCCTTCCACTACAAGCTGGGCTCTTCACGTCATGGCTGAGGCACACGGGTGGGACATTGTAGTAAGCCTTGCACCATCCTTCCCAATATGTATCCATTCTGGGAATAAAAATGATGACCTCTCTCTTCTGTCTGGCAATTTTCACAATTACTAAAATACACATAAAAGCTTAAAAGGAAAAAAAAAAAGCGACAACTAAAATTGTGATCCTGTTTTTGCTTTTAAGGAATGACTATCACCTGATGATCCCAGCCAGTTTCCTGAGGTATTCGATGAACCTTCTTTAGATCTTAATTCAGGGAACTTATTTCAAACAGATTCAGAATTGTACTATCCTCCTGATTTTATTGCTTTTATTCACTTTATCTTTGACTCACACATGGCAACAAGACTATTTTTAGCCAACAATATTCGAGATGTGTTTGACTCTTTTGTGATCTGAAAGCACTTTATAAGTGGCAGTTTCTTGGCAGCATTCCACATTATGTTATTTAAGGAGATACAGTATTCTGTAGTTTTCTCCTTAGTTTAGCAGCACAATTTGTACTTTTGAAATTTGGCTGAAGAGTAGCTGTACAGGAAGAATCATAATCAACTAGGCTTCAAATAGGACAAAAATGCAGATAGCCACTCAACCACCACCTTGCTTGATTTTATACATGTACGAATAATACTGGGAGAAATGGTATAGGTGACACTTGAGGTTTGATGCAAGAGGAGTTAGAAAGACATCAACATCTTAGCCCAGGGGTTGAATATTTTTCTGATGTTAATTACTATAGTGGTGCAGCTGCCAGACACCAAGATCCCATATTGAAAATTATAGAAATTTGCCATAGTATTGTCTTATGTAGGCGATTCTCATTTTAACAAGAACAAGAAATGGCACAGAATGAATCAGTTCTAGTGTCAGATCATTTCTCTTTTGCCTACCTAGAGTCTCCCTGTAATTTTTAATGGATGTTATTCTTCACTTCTGGACTAAATTGTTATACAGTACTCTTGGTGCTGTTAAACAGTTACCTACAGGTGGCTGCATTTCAGCAGAAAATGAAAGCAGTGCTATGTATAGTTTGTACACCATTTTGGCTCTATGACATATTTTAGATGTTTCTTTAATGCTTGGAGTTTTATGTAAGTATCTGATTGCCCTCACACCAGTAGAATATATTCCAAGAGACTGCACTATTTACAATCCTCAGCTGCTGTACCAAGAAATGTGTTATATTCTGGATCTCTTTGTTACAGAACTATTAAGATCACAGAATCATAGGACTGGAAGGAACCTCAATAGGTCATCTAGTCAAGTCCCCTGTGCTGAGGCAGAACTCAGTATTATCTAGACCTCCCTGACAGGTGTTTGTCTAACCTGTTCGTAAAAACCTCCAATGATGAAGATTCCACAACCTCCTTAGGTAATTTGTTCTACTACCCTTACAATCAGGATTTTTTTCCTAATGTCAACCTAAATTTCCCTTGCTGCAGTTTAAGCCCATGGCTTCTTGCTCTGTCCTCAGTGGTTAAAGAGAACAAATTATCACCCTCCCTTTTATAACAACCTTTTACATACTTAATGAGTGTTGTCATGCTCCCTCTCAGTCTTCTCTTCTCCAGTTTTTTCAATCTTTCCTCAAAGGTCATGTTTTCTAGACCTTTAATCCTTTTTATTGCTCTCCTCTGGACTTTCTCCAATTTGTCCACATCTTGTGCACCCACCTTATAGTAGCTTCGTCTGGGCTATATTTCTCTAGTTTGTCTATGAAAAAGTCCTGTGAGATGGCATCAAAAGCCATACTCAAGTCAAGCTATACCACATCTACTGCTTCCACCCCATCCTTGAATTGTGTGAGCATTTTTCACCCTCTGGTAATCATTAAAATACATGGGACAGTGCTACCATTTTCTACAGAAAATGCCAGATCTGGGTTTAAAAAAAAAAAGACATTTCAACAGTGCTTGTGATGCAGTACCCATGGCATTCCTTTAGCTCAGTAGCTTAATATGATCTGACATAACCAAACCTAAGGCAACACATTAGCCATAATTTTAAAGTAGTTTTAAAAAGAAAGGGCTTCTAATTTTGGTAGGCGCTCCACACCAATTACTTTTTGCTTCACAACATAAAATGTTCTCATTGTTTGCAGCTTGGCAGGAATCCTTGTTCACTGGTTACTTACAATAGCGTAAGCTGGCACATTTGGCCAGTTGGCTAGTAAGAAGCGTTCATTAGGCAGCGCAGACAAGTGGCATTTATGAGAATTCTATTCATAGCTTGCAATGCTTGAGAGACTGTGAAAGCAGCTCCCCCATCACTATTATTCTGGCTATGAAGCAATATCTGTGGTGGTGGCATTTAGTACAAATTGTATTTGTTATGAAGGCTGAGGGCATGATAAAAAAAAATATTAAATGGCTGCAGGCTTTACTTTATCTCCAGGCAGGAACACATTAAATGCAATAAAGGACAGCAAAAATACTCCCAGGGATCTCTGACTAGTTCAGTGAACTCCCAAACCATGGGTTTACTCATCATCAAAGTGCTGTTATGGCATATACAATCCTTTTTCTTCTTTATCACCATCAGCTTAATTGCAATGCCCTTCAAGAGTCTTACCAGATTCAACACAACATCAATGGAAACTTGGAAATACATTTTTCATAGTTGATAATTATATGAAACTGTGATTTCTGTCACAGCTTCAGTGTAACCCCATCTTTAACCTCCCAATGTGGTCTGCTCAAGGACTGCCTGCTCCAGTCTCAAGCCTCTAGCCTTCAGCTCTCTATGAGCAGAGATGCACATCCATCCTCTTTCCAGACTGGGATTTTAAACTGAGAGTCATAGATTCCAAGGCCAGAAGGAACCATTGTGATCATCTAGTCCAGTGGTGGGCAACGTGCAACCCGTGGGCCACATGCGGCCCATCAGGGTAATCTGCTGGCGGGCCACGAGACAGTTTGTTTACATTGACTGTCTGCAGGCACAGTTGCCCGCAGCTCCCAGTGGCCGTGGTTCGCTGTTCCCGGCCAATGGGAGCTGTGGGAAGTGGCGTGGGCCACAGGGACATGCTGGCCGTCGCTTCCCACAGCTCCCATTGGCCGGGAATGGCAAACCACTGCCACTGGGAGCTGCGGGCAGCTGTGTCTGCGCATGGTCAATGTAAGCAAACTGTCTTGTGGCCCACCAACAGATTACCCTGATGGGCTGTGGGCTGCAGGTTGCCCACCACTGATCTAGTCTGACCTCGTGTATAACACAGGCCACAGAACTTCCCCAAAAGGTTTCCTAGGGCAAATGCTGCCCAAATGGGAAACTAAGGTTCACACAAAACTCTCAGTTGTGTTCAGGAATTCTGAAGAGGATTCAAACCCTGGTTCCCACTATCTTCCCTACCCCTAGGCCCATATCCACCCCACACTTAGCTGTTATATTTTTATGGGGGACCTGTCCTTTCACCCACCAAAGTTTCTAAAGAGCAGCAAGCTGGTTTGCCCCACAAATTTCAGGGAAGGAGTGGCTAACTGGTTGTCCTTTAGTCCCCCTTCTTGCATCTGCAGGAGGAGTGGCAAGTGGGCATACCTTTCACTGCCATGCCAAATGTGCTCAGTTTATATATACTAGATCTGGCTAGACAAGACAATTCCATTTCATGACAACTTTTGAGGTCTCAAAAATTGTTTTCATTCTGCATAGGAACAAACCAAAACATTCCGAATGTTTTCACAAAATGAAATTGTGTTGGGAAAAAAGGCCATTTGCAGATCCCCAAAATGTCAGTTTTCTATTTGCATGTCCCGTTCTCTCTGTTTTCCTGGAAGTGCCAGGAGAGTCCATCCTGGACCTTGTAAACCTGGCAAGCAAAAACTTCACCAAACTCCATACATCTCTACAAAATGTTTCCATTTCAGTGAAACAATATATTTAAAGAAAATGTCCCAACAAGCTCTAATATAGTCTAACTTCCAGCCCTGCCCATTCAGCCTAAACCTGGGAAAGTAAAACTGGATTCTTCCTTTCTCATGTTACATTGCAAGAAATAAGGGTTCTGCAGGCTAAATTAGGCTCTCAGACTGTGCAGGCCCATTGCTGTCAGCAGAATTGCACAGGTGTAGCTGACTGGAAGTTAGCTAGCCAGACAGTTGATGATTCACAATTTGGAAAGGAATGTTGCTCACACTTTCTTAGCTGTATGGCTCCTGTGGTTATCAGGAGTGAAAAGCAGCAAAATATTTGTTGTCACTAAGGTGAGCCACTATAACTCTGAATACATAAAGGGAACGGATCTGTTAAGTAAGCACTGCCATTTTTACATATCTCCTTTTTGGAATAGGACTGCAATTTAACAGGAGACAGCTAAAGTTATTAATAACATGGTGCCTGTATCCTGCTTAGAAACAGAGATGGATCCAAGTCAGAAAGGTTGGACTTGGCTCTGAACATTCTCAAAGTTTGGGTATATTCTGGCTTGTCTCTGCTTAGAACCAGAGGCATTTTGTTATTTGTTTTCCTAATAACCTCCCATCAATTTCATATCAGAATATTATTTTCATTCCATAGCAGCCCAGGAAGAAGAGAACACTGGCGGTTTGATGACATGGAGCAGCATAAGTTGCCAACATTTGTTCTTCGTCACACTGATCATTATTTTGATTGTCAGTTTGGCGCTTGTTTCATTTGTAATATTCTTAACAAGTAAGTAAAGCATTTACGATTCTTGTAAATAACATGGCCTGTCAAGGGAAGAAAGTGTTGGAATATATTGGGCTACATTGTAACAAGCTATTGTAACACTTGGATTAGTAATTGGCATTAGGCATTGAATCTGTGGAACCTCTGGATCTAAAAGCACGAGCTTCTAGTCCAGTAGTTCTCAACGTATTTACAATTGTGGGCCATATATGCAGCCCATAATGTTTTATGTGTACCGCATCCAATACTACCTGTATGGCCCTGAGGATGTCACGTGGGCCACAGCTCCATGCTGACTGGGCTGCAAGTGGCCTGTGGGTCTCAGGTTGAGAACCACTGTTTTAGTTCCTGAGCTAAGGGGACTAGAAGCCACTTCTGAGGTTGCAGACTTACAAACCTCTCAGATCCAACTACTAGAGCGGGCTAGAAAGCCACACTGTGTAAGCAGGAGCTACACTATTGTATTGGATCATTTAAATATTTTGCATTTTTGAATGGCTGTGCAATGCAGCCCTGCACTGGGAAGGCTAGTGATGTTTCTTAGGGTATGGCTACACTACCCGCCGGATTGGCGGGCAGCAATCGATCCAGCGGGGGTCGATTTATCGCATCTAGTCTAGATGCGATAAATCGACCCCCAAGCGCTCTCCCGTCGACTCCTGTACTCCACCGCCGCAAGAGGCGCAGGCAGAGTCGACGGGAGTGGCAGCAGTCGACTCACCACAGTGAAGACATCCCGGTGAGTAGGTCTAAGTACGTCGACTTGAGCTATGTTATTCATGTAGCTGAAGTTGCGTAACTTAGATCGATCACCCCCAGTGTAGACCAGGCCTTACAAACTAAAACTTCGATAAGTGGTGTTCCAAGATGGGAGAGTTAGATACCTCCTGAGATGGGAAGTGACAGATGTTCACTGGAATGTGTCTTGACAGGGAGGCCTGAGAATTATTCAGACTTGCTTACTTAGCCCCAGAACAAGGATGTGGGTGGCTCTCTCCCTAGCACTGCAACAGTGTCAAACTCGAATCCATTCCCTCAGGACAAGGGATAGAAATTAATTAAGCTAAAAATGTCTTATAGAGGGGCTGCTGCTGTGTGCTAACTTATCTGAATTAAACAAGACTGGCAGGGCAACCTTTAAAAAGCTAGCAGATGTATTGGAGCATAAGCTTTCGTGGGTGAATACCCACTTCGTCAGACGTATCCACCCACGAAAGCTTATGCTCCAATACATCTGTTAGTCTTAAAGGTGCCACAGGACTCTCCGTTGCTTTTTACAGATCCAGACTAACACAGCTACCCCTCTGATATTTAAAAAGCTAGTTTCTTTCCATGCTACTTCATCAGCCAAGCCCAACAACAGATTATCAGTGTGACCCACACCTTAAAGGAGGATTTTAAACAACCTGCATTTAATCTTGACATGATAAGAACAGTAGTTGAAATATAGCTCAGCAGTGCTAGGCTGCGGTTCCTGGAAACGTTGACTGTAAAGCAGAGTGTTTCCTTTTCAAGTAGATTGTATTGTTGGGGCATGTTTTGAAAACATCTTTTTCTTCTCCAGAAGAATTTTGTTCCTGGTGTAATTCCATTAAGGCTGATGGAGTAACATGGGTGTGTGTGTGAATTTAGGTTAGTTCAGTGTGTGTTATTCAGAGAGGGCTTCAGATTCCAGTGCTAAGAGCTGAGTGGAAATAATCTGGAACAAAGAATTCCCCAAACAAAAGGAGCCTGAATAATCAGATGCAATCTCAGAATTGGCTAATAGCATCACCTCTGTGGGGATAATTATCCATTTATTGCAGGGGTGGCCAACCCTGAGCCTGAGAAGGAGCCAGAATTTACCAATGTACATTGCCAAAGAGCCACAGTAATATGTCAGCAGCCTCCCGCCCCCATCAGCTCCTCACCCCCCCGCTCCCAGCGCTTCCTGCCCACCAGCAGCCATGCCAATCAGCGCCTCCCCCTCCCTCCCCGCACCTTCTGATCAGCTGTTTCGTGGCATACAGGAGGCTCTGGGAGGGAGGGGGAAGAGGAGGAGTGAGAGCATGTGGCAGAGCCAGAGGTTGAGCAGTGAGCACCCTCTGGCACATTGGAAAGTTGGCACCTGTAGCTCCAGCCCTGGAGTCGGTGCCTATATAAGGAGCCGCATGTTAATCTCTGAAGAGCCACATGTGGCTCTGGAGCCACAGGTTGGCCACCCCTGATTTATAGGGGCTGGTAATGCTGCCAAGCAAACAGCCACAGGCTATCTCTGAATCACAGGGACCCACCAGTTTGGTTTTCACTGCTCATGATTTGGTGTTAGATAGGATGAGGTGCATTCTGCTAACTGAGGATGCTGTGGCGAGACGAACTTGAGGCCCTTTGGCAGAGGATGTTTCCCCCTATGTCGTGGCTCTAGCTGGGGCACATCACAGGTTCCTCACTCTCTTTTTTTAACAGGAAACTTTCATCCACTGGTCCCTGAACTGCCTCCACTAACGGCAGTTCTGGATTCGTAACAGAGCCTGTTGGCAAAGCAGAGAACTGTCAGGGAAGTAAAGGCTGCACAGGGAATCTTGTATGTTGTACATGGGAAGCCCAATTAAATTGCTTTACGATGACCCCAAATGTGCTTAAACAGGATGTGTCCCTGTTGCACATATTGGCTTTATATTATGTATAACTGAGTGAGTAATGTTGCTGTGTAATGACTAGGTAGCAGAGAGGGTAAGGGACCCACTACTACAGTTAATTACAGGAGTTCTTCTTGGACCCAAAGGGGTAGAGGCCTGTTTTTTGGGAGCTGAAGTTCCAAGGTTTTTCTCCCAGCCATGAGGTTTATCTAGCGTTATGTCTGTAATCCGCAGACAGAGTCATCAAGGATTGGCACCCTGCTGTTGGATTTAAGCTCCTATCAAACTCAGAACCTTGGGGAAAGTTTTGTCTAATTAGATAAGGCCCAAGTACATAATGTACTGGGCTTGATAGATATAGAAAAATAAACGAGTGATATCATTCTTTTGTGTCCCACAGAGAGGATGAGAGGCTATTAATACTAGGAGTTCTCTTTTAACTCAGATGGTAGAGGCCTATGTTTTGGGAAATGAAGGGTTCTGGTTCTAATCCTAAGTCTCTGTGATTTATTTAGGGATTGTGCCCAAAGGGACGTATGCATGTGTTGTGTCCAGACATAGGAATAAATCTTACAACCCTTAAATAAGCAAATCTTCTATGGATGGTAATGAGAGGGTTGCCCACCTGAAGACTGTATATGCTGACTCTTAAGCAGTATGTTTTATTGCATTATACTACACCAGAATGAAAAACAAAAATCGATTGTAAAAGAATTCAGTCAGCCCATAACTTCTCCACACACAACCTTTTCCAACTAAGCTTCTGAACTTGCTATCATGTTATGTCTCTGAGCAGAATAATTTCCCATTCAGTTTCCCACAGGGATGCACCAAGTGACAATGATCCACTTGGTTTAAATGTTACCAGTTTAACATAATGTCCTTTCCTTTTAAAGTTCACACTGGCAACAAGATGGATGAAGTGACAAGCAGACTAGCATTTGAAAGGAAGAACACAGAAGATCTTAAGAATATAAACAATATGATATTAAAGCATCTAAACCAATCAGGAATTATGGAGAAGGAAGAAAATCTCTTCACAGGTCAAACACCATCCACTCCTTATCTTCGTAACTATTTATTTCCCCGTTCAAAGCTGGAAGCAACAGTGCAGTAGATCCCCTGTGCAATGAAAACTATTCTCTCAGTCTATTCATTTGCTTTCAACTGTACTCCCATGTAACCAGGTGGGTTATTTAATTATTCAGATTTAGCAGGTGCCATAACAACACTTGAAAAGCAACCTGAAGAGAATGGAGCTATTAACACTGCACAGATTTACATCCACCTAGCTTGAATATATGGATGATACAACATGTTTAGCTCTGGCATTTGACTCTGAAATGCTTCACTACGGCCCCACTCCTGCAAATAGCTCTATGTGAGCAAAGTATCTTGCAGGATCTGGGCCCAAATTTCTAATAGCTTCTAAATTTAAAACAGAAAATAGTACCTGATCCTGGTTTATATGTGTAAAGTTCTGCAGGATTGAGCAATTAGGCTTGGCTCCTGGAATTTACAATGAATGGTGTGGACTGTCAATGGGTCTCCGTGCATAGGCGCCAACTCCGTGGGTGCTCCAGGGCTGGAGCACCCACGGAAAAAAATTGGTGGGTGCTCAGCACCCACCAGCAGCTCCGCCCCACCGCCAGCTTACCTCCGCTTCCACCTCCTCCGCGAGCACACCGCCACCTCCTGCTTCTCCCCCCTCCCTCCCAGTGCTTGCGCCGTGAAAAAGCTGATTTGCGGGTCAGGGAGGGAACGAAGTGCGCTGAGGGGAAGAGGCAGGGCCAGGGCAGGGATTTGGGGAAGGGATCCAATAGGGGCAGGGAGGGGGTGGAGTTAGGGCAGGGACTTTGGGGATGGAATGGGGGGCGGGGTCAGGGGCGGAGAAAGGGTGGAGTTGGGGCAGGGCCAGGGGTGGGGGCACCCACTGGCCCCTGAGAAAGTTGGTGCCTATGTCTCCATGTGGTTGTAGGGTCAGGGCCTCTAGGTTTTACCGCCCACAAAAGTGAATGGCTATTTTTCTATTAGAGAACAATTCAGTTTTCAGTGAGAAGTGGTTGAACTCAGATCCTGCTCAGTGTGTCTTTTTATCCAGAGTAAGTTCTACATTACTTGTATATTGTTTGTATTAAGAGGATTACACAACTTCTAAAATATTCCTGATTCTGCCACGTGGCCTGATGTTTTACTACTGCTTCACTAAAAATATCAACATGCTGCTTAGTTTAAAATATCAAAATCTTAAAAAAAAAAAAAAAAAAAAAATTCGGTAACATGACAAGTCCAGGCCAGGCTGGTAATGACTGAAGGTGATTGTCAATTGTTTGTGGCTTCATGTGTGAAATGATGTTACCCCAAAATTTGGACCCAAGGCACCCCAGTAATTGCCTGCCTATAATTGTAAACCAATTGCTAATTTGGCCCACTTCAATGAGTAACAGGAGGTGGCCCGCCCTAGAGGAATTGCCAGGGTTTTACCCGGGAGTTTGTCTCTGACCCTCAGAGGGCTCCCCAGAACAGACTGTGAGAGGATACGGATACAGCCGTCTGCTCAAAGGATTGACACTCAAGCAGTAATTCTTCAAAAACAAAATATTTATTTTAAAGGAAATAATCAGTTACAATACACTTAATAATCAAGAAAGAATACACTGCAATACATGACACATTTCTAAATGTAATGCAATTGTGTTATGCAATCATATACTAAGGCGACGCAATAGACTACACAAACCATATAGCACATACAATGTTGCATGATACAGTACACATTGACCCCTTATACATATGTATCAAGCCTTAATACAATGCTGCAATATAATATTAAACCTATTACAATGTAACACACAGATCCCATATACATAGGTATAAAGCAACATTACACCTTAAAGAACATTACTAAATAATAACGTTCTATGTGTGGGGATCAGGCAATCATAGAATGGGTGGGGTAAAATCCATTCAGACGCAGGCATCCAGCTTTATTTACAATCATACCCATGCATTCCTTATAATTAAGAATTCCTTACTCTCCTTCTAGAATCCCTCTGTACCATCTATGTTCCTTCTGCTCTGTCTCTGGTGGTGGCGCGTTCTCTGCTCACTGCTATTCGGCTGTGCTTCTTCTGCTCCACTCACACACCCCCCACAAAAGTCAGCCAACTCTCTGCCTTATATATGATTTTTGGCCTTCTCTGATTGGCTGCTTTCTCAATTCTAGCTATTAGCATAGATCCTCCCAGTGGGGCAATACCTGCTTAGCCAATCAGCTCTACCTGTCATGAACCAGCTGAACCTAGTTGAGATCCTGCTCCTGACCCCTCCCTTCAAGTATTCTGGAGTGAACTCAGCCTTACCCTGTTTAACTTTATTTCACCCTAGTCGCCTGTCTGCTATTGGTCAATTTGATCTGAGTCCTCCATTTTGATTTTTCTAATGTAAAAACATCGCTGTTGCCATTTTAGATTTCTAGTGATACCTACTCATTTATTACTTATCAAAAGCCTTAAATCTTTCATTAACTACATTTTTATGCATGTTTAAGTATTATGATCCTGTCACCACTTTTGTTATGATAATTGGGAGAGGTGAATTTTATGATGTTTTCTGCCCCTTTTTGCATGCTTTCAGCTACATGGTTGGGTGCTATTCTTGGTGCTGCTGATTTTCTTACACAGTATAGAACAGTTAAAAGCCTCTTGTATCAATGAGCTGGTGGGACTCAGTCTGGTTCCTAGCAGACTAATGTCCACCGCACAAAGGGCATTAATTGGCCATTCTTAGTGGTATTTGTTACCAATTTCAGCAGAAAGATCAAGTACTACTGACTGATTTTATGAGGCGATCCCAGGAAGTGTGCAGCACTTCACAGGATGAACCTGGAGCCTGAAGTGCCCTCTTATCCCAAATGTGGTCTTGCCAGGTTAGGGCTGATGCCCATTGAAATGATAATGGCTAGAAGGAGAGAACTTGCACTGTTGCTACCTTTGTCATACCTGCTCTGTGGATAAATAATAGATTTCAGCCCTCAGGGTTTTCAGTATGGCACCTTTCACATACACTAAACAGACTTTAATTTCTTTAAAAAGATGCATAATATAGTTGAAGTGCAAAATAAAAAGGCAAGAAAGTATGCTGGTTACAAAGACTTGCTATTGCATCATGGAAAACTAAAATATCTTCGACACAGTTCTACTTCTATATAATCAGTGTGTGTTTACATAATAACCTTCCCCTGGAGTCACCCGAAGGGACTGAAGCCCATACCTTTAACACTAGAAACACAGGCCTATACTTCTTGAGCTACAGGAGTAATTTCTTCTGCTAGTAGTGGAAGCTGGTCCCTATCTGCTATGTTGTCCACCCCCTAGGAAGGGGACAGAGACTATGCCTATGTATGCCATAAACTTTTTTTTAGCTCCTATTCCAGTTTTTTCTTTTCTTTAGTTACTTAGTTTAACACATTCACATGAAAACAAGATTTTTTTAAAAGAGTTCATCAGCTTCTGCTGCTAATTCCCCAGCTGGAGTCATAATTGTCTCTTTTGGACACCACAGTTAGCTGCTGTGAAGATTTATAATGTCACCAACAGACGATTATAACAGCAAGTGAGAAATAAACTGTGACACAAGATGAACCTTAGAAACAAAAATCTTATGTTTCTGTAAATGTCTTTAGTGATAAAGGATTTAGGAGAAACTTTCCCAACACTCTGAAAATATGACATTCACAAAGAGTTGTTTCAATTCCTCCCTGCAGCTGTCAGTTGCTTTTTAATGGAACATGAAGTTCTCATGCAATCTCTCCCACTCATCTTCTAGTTACCATAACTGATTTCTGGTTCTTTCTTTTGCTGACACACATCCATTCTTGCAAACCAGTGGGGAAAATGCTAGTATACATGTGGATTTGTCAAACTCCTAGTCACAAGCACTGCAGTCATTAGGACAGCTTGTGGTTTCACATGAAACTGACACGTCTAACCTATAGATTTTTCTGGCAGGAGAGAACATAAATTACATCTGTTTTACCAACACCTGTCCCCAGGAAAATAAACACTTCATCTTCTCGGTGATATAGGTCTCAGTTACTGCTCATCTGGTAACTAAATGGCAGTCCAAAATATAACTACTACAGCCTTTCTAAGGTAGATTAAATATGTTGCTGTTTTCTTTATCTTGCAAAATGCTGAGCAACATTAATGTTCATTGACTTTAACAGTAGCTTATCTGGCTCAACAGCATCTAGGATTGAGCCCTAAATCACTCCTATCATAGAAATTAAGGCTGGAAGAGATTTTGAAAGGTCATCTAGTCCAGTCCCCTGAGCTGAGACAGGACCAAGTATACCCAGACCATCCCTGACAGGTGTTTGTCTAACTTGTTCTTAAAAACCTCCCAGGATAGGGATTCTACAATCTACCTTGGAAGCCTATTTCAGTTCTTAACTACCCTTATAATTAGAAAGTTTTTCGTAATATCTAATCTGAATCTCCTCTTCTGCATACTGAGACAATTACTTCTTGTCCTACCTACACTGGACATGGAGAACAATTTTGTGTTTTGCCTAGAGCTGTCAAGCGATTAAAAAAATTAATTGCTATTAATCACGCTGTTAAACAATAATAGAATACCATTTATATAAATATTTGTTGGTTTTCCACATTTTCAAATATATTGATTTCAATTACAACACAGAATACAAAGTGCACAGTGCTCACTTTATATTTATTTTTATTATAAATATTTGTACTGTAAAAATAAAAGAAATAGTATTTTTCAATTCACTTAATACAAATGTAGAGTTATGTACAAAAAATAACTGCATTCAAAAATAAAACAATGTAAAACTTTAGAGCCTACAAGTCCACTCAGTCCTATTTCTTGTTCAGCCAATCGCTCAGACAAACAAGTTTGTTTACATTTGCAGGACATAATTCTGCACGCTTCTTGTTTACAACTTGTGAGAACAGAAGTTTGCATGGCACTGTTGTAGCTGGCATTGCAAGATATTTACGTACCAGATGTGCTAAAGATTCCTATGTCCCTTCATGCTTCAACCATCACTCCACAGGACATGGTGATGATGGGTTCCGCTCGATCATGATCCAA